CAGATCGCAAAAAGCTTTCGGTGGTGCAGTGGCTTTTATATATTCTGCGCCCACCATCTTGCCATCCACTCTGATATTTTCTTCAAAGGTTGAATATGTTGGGTTCGAGTAATACACGTGAAAATATTTTGATACTAAAATAAAAATTTGTGCGAGATTGGTTCACATATCTTTGTTTATAAGATTGATCGAGTCAAAATAAAAATATAAGAATAAAGTATTTGTTATTCAGGAAAAATGTATGATACTTTTAAAGCTCGTGTGATTGTGGGGATATGTTTTGAGTTGATTGCAAAAAAAAAAAAAAAAAAAAAAAAAAAAAAAAAAAAAAGCCTACAAAGAGTTGCAATCGTTATATCATGCACCAGGGCGTACAATATATTGTGCGCCCCGCCCTACCCAACACAACGTCATTTTGGTGCATTGTCGAAAAAAAAAATCATCTGTTTTGAATACACATAAACTCATAACAGAATACACAGAAGCTCATAACTGAATACATATAATCTAACATGATACATAATACACAGAAACTCTTAACTGAATACACATAAACTCTTAATTGAATACACAGAAAATCTTAACTGAATACACAGAAACTCTTAACTGAATACACAGAAACTCATAACACAATACACAGAAGCTCATAACTGAATACACATAATCTAACATGATACATAATACATAGAAACTCTTAACTGAATACACATAAACTCTTAATTGAATACACAGAAAATCTTAACTGAATACACAAAAACTCTTAACTGAATACACAGAAACTCATAATACAATATAATACACAGAAATTTTTAACTGAATACACATAATAGAGTTTTGGCCGTTTGGATGGACGGAATGACAGTAGCAATTGAAACGTGCGCGTTATGTGCATGGACGTACATTGTTATGTGCGATTGTGCGTCGCGGTGCACGATATAAATTGCCAAAGAGTTAGGTGTAGAGGAAATTATATGGGCCAGGGGCCAGGGCCAAGCCAAATTGCATAGAAGAAAAGTAGACATTTCTTGAGTGGGCTTTAATTGAGAAGTTAGACATATGACTATATGAGTTATTACACAACATTAGAACATTACTCAAACCAAAGTTGAAAACTATGTTGCCTAAAAAGAACATAGGATTTTGTTTGCCTTGGGATCTTTATTATTTCTCTAGTATTTTATACACCAAAGAAAATAGCTAGATTCTTTATCTACAATATTGTAAGAAACCATAATAGGAATAAAGTCTAGCTCAATAGTATCTTCTAGAGAGGACCACGGGATCTGTTCAAATTTGATCTGGTCCCAACCGGTTTAATTTTGATCGAACCAAATATAGTATGCATGCATTGCTAAGAACTAAAACAGTACATGGGTAAAATATAAATTATCATTTGGGCGTGTTAGGATCAAACGTTTACCACTTACACAAAAAATTATAGCTGGTAGCGAAGATGCAATTTTATTTCCTTACTTATAGACCGTTATAACATTATTCGAGACACGTTGGGTGCTGAAATTGACCTTTTTATCCTTTACCAGCCTCCACCCAACAATCCCCATCCACTGGGTGCTAGCTAGACTTGGCCATTTACCGACCTAAACTAAGGACATATATAGCTTGGGCTAGACCATTTTGAATAGATGCTAAAATGTGTTCTTAGTTAGAGCTCATGTAATGCCTTGAAGAGAGAACTAGAGAGATACTACTAAATGCAATGCCACTCTCGTGGACATTGGACTCTCAATTGAAATTAAGCCTCACTCTCATTGCGACTCAAGCCAATTGAAACAATTTATCAAATACATGACGTTTACGTCTCCTTCCGGCCAACTCCCTTTTCACAAAGTAAAGTTGGACTAGTGAGATGTGTGACTATGGTGTTGCTCTATTCTCATAGTGATAACACCTTATCCATATACCTCTAGTATGATTGTAGCCACTATCCTATAAGAGTCAACACAAGCGAATTGATCGAACCACCAAGCTCACAACTAGAACTATCATATCATCAAGTCGTTATAATAGCTCATAGCACAATTTAATCACATAACATCAATCACAAGCATGACTTAATCCAATTTCTAAATGAATCTAGCTAAGCATATATATATGAATTGAAATGAAAGACATTTGCAAGAACAATGAATGCAAATAAAGTAATAAGAAAGACGACTTAGCTTTGATTAAGAACTATGCGAGATGAAATCTAGAAATTGAGATTAGAGTTGATTAAAAGATGAATTGATCTTTAAATACCAAGACTATGTGGTCTAATGGTACTGGGTTGGATTTTCATTTAGAAGATTGTGAGTTCAAACTTTAATGGAGGCGTTATTGGTTCTTTGTGTTTTAGTAGGTTGAACAGATACTACATTGTAATAGAGCCAGTAGCTGATTTTTTATTTAAAAAAATTAAACAAAATTGTAAAATTCACTAATAAAACATAAGGTTCCTCTAGTTTTTTTTTTTTACAAATTATTTACGTAAGTGGTTTTAAAATCGTTCAAAATATTGTTGAAACCATCTAAATACATAAAAAATTAAAATTAAGAGCAAAAGAAGCATTGTTTGGAGAAATTAGAGGGTCAAACCGCCTTCGACGCCGAGTAAAAAATATGCGATTTCAAAAAAAAAAATTGTCCAAAACGAACAACCGAGTCAAAAGTTATGCCTTCCCGAACTTTTCACACTTTATAACGCAATAATAATAATAATAATAATAATAATAATAATAATAATAATAATAATAATAATAATAATAATAATAATAATAATAATAAATTAAACGCTGGTTCAGCCGGCGGGCGCCTAGCGTCTAGGCGCGATTTTTGCAACACTAGTGTTTTCTCCAAGGTTAGAGTGAAAAATCAAAAGTTATATAAAAATAACCGTCAATGCTTATAAATGCTTTTAAATTTAATTGGGCCAAGATAACTACCTTTCGCGCAATTATGGACATCGGGTCACAGCCACCCTCCAGACAAAGAGGTTGACCGCGACTACAAAAAATCAGCTACGCCCTCCATCCATCCCAACCATGGTCATGGCCGGGATGGTGACCAGGACCTACAAGACTACCCTGCAGATTCCTGGCATCTCGTTGCTCCTCTTGGTCGGGATGAGCAGTGGGAGACTGTGGAATCGCAAGCTAGGCTTGCAGGTCGTGACTATGACCGGGACCTCCTCCTTAGCTCCTGACTCGCTCCATGACCGAAAAGTTGACCGTGACCACCAAAAATCAGATACGGCCTCTAGCCATCTTGACCATGGTCACGACCGAGACCTGCAAGCTAAGACTACCTTGTGGATTCTTGGTCGGGATGAGCAGTGGGAGCCTGGGACCCCCAAGCTAGGCTTGCAGGTCCTGATCATAGTCACAACCATGACGGTGACAAGGACCTCCTCCTTGGCTCCTGACTCACTCCATGTTTTGCACCTTCTTGACTCATTTTCTCTTGCAATTGGCCTTCTTTCTTGCTTGTTCATGCTTTTGTCCAATCTTCCTTGCATGCAACCACAAACACTTCCATTAGAAACTATTTTCACCAATCACCTTAAGATCCATGCAAAATTAGACTAAATCGAGCACACATATAAGCCAAATAATGACTTATCAATGAGGTTTGCAAAATCAAACTTGTAATTTTCTGTTATGAGAATTATTATGCTCCATTCACTCATCAGTCACCCCTTTCGGGACAATTTTGTACCTCTTGACTAGCATAGTTTAAAGAAATCATATATAATTAATCAATACAAATTACATGACGAGGCATATAATTAAAATACAAGAAATAATTTTGGTATGAATATAATATAAAATAGGATGTGCACGAATATATTTATGATGTCGTTTATCAGTGTTTGGGTGGTGGAGCAATGGAATCATTAGAATTCCTTCTGACTTGGAAGATTCACAACCCACTTAGGTTAGGGAATCAAAGTGGTATAATTTATGACGAAATGGATCAACTTTATTAATTCTCATCTCTAGAAACTACTCTCTATAAGAATAATCATAGCCAGCATCCATTAAATGTACAACCACACATACTAAGCTACTATGGAGTATTTTTACTCTCCCCGCAACTAATTAAGGTTTGACTTGATCTAGGTCACGTTCATAAAATTATTTGACTTTTATTTGTGAGATATGAGAAAGCGTAACCTACGACTATTTAACATGTCACACTATTTATAAATGAATAATAGGCAACGTGCCTTGATGTACCATAATGAATCTAATACCAAAGCTTTTAATTTTTTACCTACAACTCTAAAATAATTGCTTAGATCTATTTGGATGATTCGAGTAGTTTAATGTGTTTTATCTACATGAGACTCATCATGGGAGAAGGATTGACCACGAAAGTGAAACATACTTTACTAGATTGGGATTAATACACTGATGAATTGTCTAATTACTGATAGGCTTAATTTAAGGTAACAGAACTCTAGGATACTTAAGATTCCTTGATTTGTATAGTAATAGACAATAATTTTGGGAGCACATGAACATATATATTATAACTTAGTTAATATGATACGTCAAGAATTAAAAAAAAAAAAAGCATTAAAAGTGAAAATAAGTGTAATATAATATTACTCTTGTGTAATAATTAATATACTTATTAATCATTTTATCTTGTATACAATTACATCCATAGCAAAATCAATACCCATGTCGCAATGTTATAATTTTATAATGTATTTTTTTTAAAGGCTTTCCTAACATCTAAAAATCTCATATTATATTTAATTAATATGAATATCACCTTCATTATTATTGTTGTTGTTGTTATAATGAATGTTCAAGTTCCATCGTCCATGCAATTACATTTGATATAGCTCATTCTCTTAATTGCCTCATTGGCCTATAGTCAGGCAAACACGGGATCCTGTCCCTCCTGATTTCATTTAAGCTTTTATGCAGTAATAATCTATCTCGGTTATGTTTTTGCTTTCAAAAAATAATATCTAAAAAAAAAATTAAATAAAGACAAGAATTTGCATGGAAATGATATATAGGGAAATATGACTAGCCATTTTCATAAAATATGCATGGCAACTTTTGTCAACGAAACTCATATGATTGATTTCGAGACTTTTAATGATACACACATACAATTAACAAGACACTTGGTTGTCCTGCCCGGCCAGCCTTTAGCTAGCTACTTGACAAGACAAATGTTACTTTAGGTATGACTATATTGTATTTGATTGGGTTTATGGGTAGATAGGCGGGTTAGGATTGCTAGAACCAGATGGCTTTGGCATTAATGAGCATTTGTTTGAGAGAGCCATCAATCTGAAGAGAAAGCACATCCCTGGCGGAGCCCACAAACTGTCCGCCGATAAACACCGCCGGGACGGCGGGGTTGCACCCCATGCTCCGCAATGCCCACTCCATTTCTCGGCCTCTTCCGTCGTGATCGAGCTCGTGCACCGCCGGGCTCGCCCCCAGCTCGTAGAACAGCGCCTTGATGCTGTGGCACATGCAGCAGGAGCTCTTGGTGAAGATCACCGCAGCCTTCTTTGACGCCAGATCTCTAACCCTATCCATTATCAACGGCCGAGATGGACCGATCGGAGTTCGGAGCTAGCTAGGTAATTAATAAGCTCTGTGTGTGCTTGTACAACGTTGTTAGTTGGTGGGTTCTTGGAGTTTTCTGACGTTGTTATTTATAGGGACGATGGTAGATCAGATATGGATTACGTTGAATTGTTTATCCAAAAGGTTGAGTTGAATGAAGACTTCGATAATGGCATATATGGTATGCCGGTAATAATACAAGGTTGAACAGAAAAAAGATAATTTCTTGTCTGGTGGATAAGTTTTTTTTTTTTTTTTTTTTTTTTTTTTAAATAATGTTGACCCTTTATGCTTGCTACCAAAATTCGTTATTCTAGTTGACGCCTACCGTCGCCCATGTCGATAACAACGAACTCCGATCCTCTCTTCAATGTAACGTCGCCCGTAACCCATAAAAATATCTCAAATGCCCTTAACCCTCGACATAAAACATTCGGGTGAGTTAAATCTCATAACATTGATACTTAATTTGTAGTTGCATGGCACTACCACTACTATAGAACATAGCTATATATTATGACGATTTTTATTATATATACACGGTAGTGTTTGAAGTGCTGTATGAGTGACTCACGTTGTAAATAAATATATTTTACGACGGTTTTTGGAAATTGCCATATATGTTACATATATATGGCAGTTAAAAAACCGCCGTATAATCATAAACATACACGTCATATAAATGAATTTTTTAAAAAATACATATTTTTATACGACGGTTCCAAATGGGAACCACCGTGTAAAGTTATACTCTGTTCCATTTTGTCTGTCCTACTTATTATTCATGGGTCAAATCAACTCTTTCTTCTTTGTTTATTCTCTTTAGTATTTTTTTACTCATTTTTAAATTTGATTTTTTGTGTTTAATAGTATTTTTAGTATAGTTTCTAAATATATACATTTTGTATACTAATACTAAACTTAATATTATGAAAAATTGAATTAAAAATAACTTCAGTCAAGCCTCGTTAACCGAACCAAACACATAAAATGGAACAGAGAGAATATTAAATAAGAAATACATATACTTTATATGACGGTTAAGTATATATGTGTGTGTGCGCGCCCACACGGCAGTACCTAGCTGATCGAAACTGCTGTATATAACAAATTTAAGCAGGACATACATACTTTATATGGCGGTTCCACTTCGAATTGTCATATAAAGTATTTATTAAATGTGTGTGTGTGTGTGTGTGTGTGTGTGTGTGTATATATATATATATATATATATATATATATATATATATATATATATATATATATATATATATATACACACACACACACATAACGGTTCGGAGTTAGAATCACCGTATATAATAATTTTAAAAATTATGTACAGTGTATATACTTTATACGACGGTTCTAAGTGAAAATCGTCGTATACATTTATTAATATGCTTGTCCCGTGATTTTTTTTTAATGCTACTGACTCTATTACAATGTAGTATCTGTTTATAATTACTTTCTTAACATATTAAAGCATAATGAGCCAATAGCACCTCCACTGAAATTCAAATTCACAACCTTCCATATAAAAGTCTAACCTGAATTTGTCCCGTGATTTACTTATTCTATAAGGGTTAAAGATAAAATAGAGAAAAAATCTCCCATATTAAAATTTATTCAACCGTTTTAAAAATATCTGAAATGATATCATCTCGATGGGACTGACACCTTAGATATGTATTACATGCAACTAGAGACAAAAGAGATAGGTCTGAACCTATTCCTATGTGGAAAGAAGTATATAAATTACCACCTAGTCATACCTCAAATGATCCAACATGTGTCAATTAGTACATGTAATGAGGAATAGACGATATGCTCGGGCATTCAACCCGAGTCCACATCGACTTGTGATCTTTCCTTTAAAGAGTTGAAGTTATGCTGCTTGATCATAAGGTCTGTTTCAAATTTTTGCTCTAAATTTATTGTGTAAGAAGAAGTAAAAATTATCACTAAATTATAGTGTGAATTATATTGGATATGCGTCAACAATAAATAAACAAATTAAAATTAATTTATTAGAAATAGATAAGGAAATAATATTCTACCTAAAGTTACGTTGGTCAACTGTTTCGAAAAAATCAGAAAAATAAAACTACTTTCCGACCAGAGGAATCGATCTGTAAATGAAAGATAGTTAGTTCTTCATCAAATTAAAGGCATATATTCTTCTAATTTATTTATTTTTTAATAATCGCCCATGGGTAGCTAATTGTGTTATATAACTTTTAGGGTTTTATAAAAATATTCATAAAAAAGAAAGTAGAGGGGGCTGTGGGGTATTATTCTCCCCAATTTGAATCGAGCCAACAACACAACATTATTGTTACAATACTACTATATATGATGCTTTTCCGTGTCAACTTGTGAATTAACGGAATAAATGGTCGGTGTTCCAGTCGTCAATATTTTACTGTGCATGTGAAACTACGTGCTGCATGGGCGATTAAAGGACAGTCCATTTCTTCATACATATATGTTAATCATTGTCATTAGTGGAGTATATTTTATTAATTAATATATGATGAACAACTCGAATATTTACTCTATATTCGATTATTAGTTATTTTGCATTGGTGAGCACGCATCCTTGAAATATAAAAATCTTACTAATAGGGTGTATGATAATTGAGATAATATTTTTCCATCAAGGGGAGTGATTTGAAGATCGTGTTCATTGGTCTCTTATAATCGTACTCTTCGGTTTGGAGATGCCTAAGAAATTCTCCCTAATGATATCTTTCGACGTGTCTTGGAGGTTCGTTAAAGTCGCTCTAATCTCCGTTGTGACTTATTTCTTGGTAGATCGAGATAATATAGTCATATCTTGAAAATATATCAGCTAAGTTAGTCCGATTGTTAGCTTGGTAATAACCACAAGATTTCAAGTTTAACTCTTAATGAATTCTAATGAGAATATGGTATTCTTGCAAAAATTTTGCGATATTTATAATTTAAAACTAACATTGTTCATTTTTTATTTGTTCTCAGCAACCTCCAATCATTGATATATATATATATATATATATATATATATATATATATATAATTCAGTTCCCGTGCGTGGTTTGTGTGCTTAATATGAGTAGTTGTTGAAATTTAAGGTCCGTCTACCTGAAGCTTAAGGTACGTTGTTTTCCTTCTTAAGGTGCGTGAGTTGTTGAAACTTAAGGTGCGTTATTTTAAAACTTTAGGTGCGTGGTTTGTGTTCTTAAGGTGCGTAATTTGTGTACTGAAGGTGCGTCATTTTCATGCTTAAAGTTAAGTTGCTTGGTTCCTTCCAAAGGCACGTTTTTTTTTAATTTTCATTTATTTGAGCCGTTGATCTAGATTTGATCCACGGCTCATATTAAACTGCGTGTCCGCACCTGAGAAATTGTTATATTATTGGTATGGAGATTTATGAGTGATTAGGTTTGCTACTTTCCGTGGTGCATGCATGGTTTCTTAGGTCGGTCGTTCAAGAATATATACTTGGGTGATTGATGTGGAAAGAATACGAGTTTATTCAATGAAAACTGTTACTTGTATATTTTTGTATAAAGTATTTTACTATTTAATGTAGTTAAACATATAATTGGTTTTATTGAATGTCTATGAAATAAAGATCAAGCATCAAAGATCTTGCTTAGCTTGCTAGAAATGCATGTATCCAAAATAGATATGAAGATTTGGATTTGAATGGAGAACGAGGGTGTGCACATTGCATATGAGAATAATTGTCATAGGAATGATATTATTCTTGATCAATTCATGAGATATAAAGTATATGATAAATATATGTATTTATAAAGATACAAATTAAAGAGTCTCAGCAAAGATAAAAATGATAAATGGTAATATTTCTAATAATATAGGGAGAGGGGAATGAATTTAATTGTCCCTAAAACACAGAGTCCTAATATGTCCCCTCAAGGTTAAGGTTCTCTAGAAAGAACATTGAGCTTGTCGCTTAGATCATTTAACCTTGTTATGGATGATTAGTGACTTGGTGATGATGCCAGCTAGTTGATCTTTTTGTAGAGATGTTGTTTCTTTGTAATTCCTCTTATGCTACTTTGTCACGAACAAAATAAAATAATCTTGACGGATCAAATTTTCGACTACATAATCAACTACTACAAAATACTCACCCAAAACACAGTTACAACCAGTTACAAGAAGAGGAGCCGTGGCTCCCCTTTATTTTCCCATTTTTCTCACCGAGGAGCCTTGAGGCTCCATTTTTTAGCCGTGCCTATTCCGCTGGGCACGGCAATGAAGAGCCTTTGGCTCCTCATAAATGGACCCTTAAAGGCCCTTTAGTAGTTAATTTTTTATTTTATTTTTAATATATAAGTAAGGGCATTTTGGTGAAAATTATAGTTTTTTTAAAACGTCAATCTCAAACGCGGCTAATAGCAATGTTTGAGATTTCAGCCGTTTGGTGAAATCCGTTGCTCCAAACTGCTGATGCTTCAAACATTGACTTTTGTGTTTTGACCATAACCAAAATGTCAAAGTCAACGAATTTGTCAATAACAAGAAATGTTCATTATCTCTTTCCCTCTTTTAAACATAAGAACTTAGTTAATTTACAATTTTGTGCTACATAATTAAGGTCTTAATATATAATATATATTATATTGAAAAATCCAATATTTCTTGCTTAATTAATCTCTCTACAAATACGACTGATTTTAATACCTCTTTCCCTCCTTGGAAAATAAACTGACAAGACTCCTTTATAAATGACTTATTTTGTTTGCAATTGCCTTTAGTTTGACTTTTTATTCCAATAATTATTCTTCTAATTTGGTTTGCTTTTCAATATAGGGTCTAGAAGTGTTAGTTTTATGGCTTGTGCAGTGCCCTTAACCGAAATAGGAAATAAATCTCCAAAATTTGTTAGATTAATTACAAATTAATTGGTTGCAGAAGATGTATATGAGTAATCTCCCAAAAACGTGATAATAAATTACCATTGACCATGGATCATGGTCCAAAAATGGCGTCATTCTTTAAGTAAAGAAATGACGACTGTTATATTATATTTAACAAAAATTTTGTATTTGTGATGTGCTCAAAATGAAACAAAATTATAATGTATCTAAAATTAAATTGGATAATATGTCTCACATATTGAGTATATATTATCAAATAAAATTGTAGTTGAATTGAAATTATACTTTAGTTGGGTTGAGATGAAACTACTATACAGTATGTATAAAGTAAAACTGAATAACATGTCTTACATATTGAGTGTATATTGTCAAATAAAACTGTAATTGAATTCAAATGATATTTTAGTTGTGGTGAAATGAAACGTAACTACGGTATATATAAAATGAAACTGAATAACATGTCTCACATATTGAGTACATATTGTCAAATGAAACTATAGTTATATGACTTATATCAAAATGATACTTTGGTTGTGTTGTAATGAAACTACAGTGTATATAAAATGAAACTGAATAACAATTTTACATATTTGAGTGTATATTGCCCAATGAAACGGTAGTTAAATTAGAATTATATCTTAGTGGTATTGTAATAAGACTGCAGTGTGTATAAAATGAAATTCAATAACAAGTCTCACATATTGAGAATATATGTCAAATGAAATTATAGTTGAAACAAAATGATATTTTAGTTGTGATAAAATGAAACTACAATATATATAAAAGGAAATTAAATACATTATACAAATAGAAGTAATTACACGAAATGAGTGCCATTTTTTTTTTAATTACGTTTCTTTTAAATTAAAAGAAATGGAATTGTTTTCGACTATGACCCATATTAAAATTTGCCATGAATTACCTAGATTACTATATAAAACGCATTTTGAAATTCTGGGTTGACTGCACTGATTTTTAGAAAATTTATACTAAAACTAATAAAGCATTATACATACATTCTAAAAACTCATGTAGGGAAGAAAAACATTTTTTTTTTCATGTGGTTGATCTGCTGTCGGAAGGCATCATATGGGCCGAACAGAAGTATTGGGCCGTGTATATGTTATGGGAACAAGAAGCTTCCTTCAAAAAGGGACATAGAGGCCCTATTGTTATGGGCCGAATGCCCCACAGTATTGGCCCATTTATTTCTCCATCATTTAACTGGAGCAAATTATTACGCGCAAATTATGCAGTGGACTCGTGTCCACAATGAGTCCAAAATGACGTCGTTTTTAGGGAAAACGCGTCATTTCAGTTAAAAAAAATTAATTTTGTCTCATCGTTAACGGCGTTATTCGTTTGTGCCATTATGAATGTACAGTTATGGGATTATGAATGTACAGTTATGGCATTATAAATGTACAGTTATGGAATTATGAATGTAAGCTATAAAATTATGAACACAGAGCTATGACATTATGAACATATAGTGATAAAATTATGAACATAGAGCTCTAAAATTGTGAACATTGAGCTTTGAAAATTATGATTTTACAGTTATTGCATTATAAATGTACAGTTAAGGAATTATGAATGTACAGTTATGCAATTATAAATGTATAGTTATGCAATTATGAATGTACAGTAATGCAATTATGAACACAGAGCTCTGACATTATGAACTTACAATATGAACATATAGTGATAAAATTATGAACATAGAGCTCTAAAATTGTGAACATAGAGCTTCGAAAATTATGAAGTTACAGTTATTGAATTATTAATGTACAGTTACAGAATTATGAATGTACAGTTATGGAAGTATGAATGTACAGTTATAGAATTATGAACATAGAGCTTTGACATTATGAACTTACAATTATGAACATATAGTAATAAAATTATGAACATATACTCCTATAACGAAACGGTCTAAAATTAAAAAAAAAAAAACAATTAAAAAAAAAAAAAGAAGAAGATAATAGGCACTGTTACCCGTGTCCAGCATGCATGCTGGACACGGGTCCATAGCATAACGATTGATTATTACGTGGACCCAGATCTAACTTGTAAAGTGGACCCTGATCCAAAATACACAATTTATATATTGAATGTTCACAATTTTATAAAAGGTAAATTGTGAACATTCAGTATATAAATTATGTATTTTGAATTCGAGTCCACCTTACAAGATGGATCCTTATTCATGGTATAACTATGGTTTAACTAGGTGTCTTTTTTTTTTTTTTTTTTTTTTTTTTTTTTTTTTTTTAAGTTTTCTCTCAAATCCTACCCTCCTAAAACCCTTCTCTCAATAAAACAATTTTTTGGGTTTTTTTTTTTTTTTTTTTTTTTTTCCAAATCCTACTCTCCAAAAACCCTCCTCTCAACAAGTAATTAATAGTTCTTCACCTAAAACTACTTATCTTCTTCACCTAATAAGTAAAACTACTTATCTAAGGTAAATACCCAAAATGATCCCTCAACTATAGCTAAATTCACAATTGGTCATCGACTTTCAAATTTAACCAATTAAGTCCTTAACTTTGCAATTTTAACACGATTTAGTCCTCCATCTATTTGACCGTTTGTTGACCATGATCTCTGAGGATATATATGTAATTTCATCGCCGCACGCCCTCATCCGCTGCCGTGACACAGTCTATCAGCCAGCCACAAGCCACTGCCGACCCGCCCTCATCTACTGCCATGACACACTCCACCACCTAGCCTTCACCTACTACCACGACACAATCTACCACCCAAACACCTTCGCATAATTCATCATTGCCGGCGCTACAACCCAATTTGCAATCTCCATCAGGTCCAACGCCACAAACAACCGTGTCTTGTCGGAGCACGTGGAGGCTTCCAAGATGACGCTGCACCTGTTCGAAAACACGTCGTCTTCTTCGCTCTGGTACGAACTCAACTACATTGAATCCAAAGGGAGGATGAAGAAAGGCGATAGGATTTGGCAGATTGCTTTCGGTAGTGGATTCAAATGTAACAGTGCGGTCTGAAAATGCAACCGAAACCTTAAAAAACCGACAATGGACCATGAAATTACATATATATCTCCAAAAATCACAGTCAACAAATGATCAAAAAGACGGAGGACCAAATCGTGTTAAAATTGCAAAGTTAAGGACTTAATTGGTTAAAGAGTTTTTTGCACTTTTGGTCCCACGACTATAGTGGCATTGGCAGAATTGATCCACGACTTTTGAACCTTGCAATTTTAGTCCACGACTATTGATTTTTTTACAAAAATGGTCCTTCTGGCCACTTTTCCGTCAAAATGTCACCGGAAGAAAAATTTTCCGTTTTTAGCAGGGGTAAATTGACATTTGACTTGTCTCCAAAAAAAAAAATAAATAAATAAATTTGGCATTTGACTTAAAAATAAAACCCCCCCAATTTCCCGAACCCTGCGAACAAGACAACAACAGTCACAAATAGTCGCTTGGATTTCGTGGCTTGATTCTCCAGTGTGAAAAATTCAAGAATGATTCCGCGTAGGTTGAGGAGTGATGGTAAGTTTTCAATGTCCAAACTTTTAGTTTGTAAAATATTTGTGTCTATATTTGTGGGTGTTTGTATGATGTTATTGCTATGAATTTTGTTGATATGTCTATACTAGTTTCCAGTGTATTATATACTTTTTGCCTAGTACGAAAAGTGCAGAATATGCTTTTATATTAAGTGTATTGCAAACCTGTAGTATTATAGATGGGGACCATGTGTTCTGGGGACCAGTAATCAATTTATAATGTTTACTTGTAACATGTGACATGTGTTCTGTGAATGGGGACCACACTCCAGTGTCAACAGACCTTGGAGTTGTAAAACTAGAACAAATGGCTTAAATCAGGCAACAGACCTTGGAGTTGGAAAATTGGAACAAATGGCTTAAATCTAAATATTGTATTTCGAACCAGTAAATGCCTTAAATATGGTTCAAATATTCTTCACAACCATTGTCTGGCACCATTGAGTTACCATATGTTATTTCAGTACCCACAGACATTTCCTTAAAAAATTGTGATAAATATTTAAAATTGCCTAGTGAATTTTATTACAAGTGAACATATTGTTTTTGTTGTTTTGTTGTGCATAATTGCAGCAATTTGATTACTATTATGTCTTCGCTAATTATTCATTTCTTCTAACAATTTGATTATTGTTTTTATAATTTAGGTGATAATGGTAGTGACGGTGATGCAGAAAGTGATGATACTGATAGTGAGTATGAAATAGATGGTAACATATCAAATATTGATGACTTTGAATTTGATCAGAATGTGGATTCTACAGTTGAGTTTGGTGGGGTAGAAGGTATTTCTAGTGAACCAGTTGGTGTGAATAGTTGGGAGAGAAATTTGGACGAACCTAATCTATCTGATGATACATCATTAAAAGACTCAGATAGTGATGTAGAGGGTGGTAAGTGGCCTGTTTTTAGGGCAGCTACTGATATGAAAGAGCCTCATTTAATCCTAGGATTGACTTTTTCTAGCAAAGAAGAGTTTAAGGAAGCTGTGACCAATTATGCCTTTAACAATGGAAAAGATGTAAAAATTGTTAAGAATGACAAAGCCAGACTAGTTGTTAAATGTAGGGATAGTAGTTGTCCTTGAACAGTAACTCTAAGAAAGCAACAGAATTCTTTGAATTGGAGCATCCTTAGATTGACAGATAAACATGATGGATGTTGTTGGACTTCTGAGAATTCAAGAGCAACGTCAACTGTAGTTGCAAAGAGGTGGAGTAAGGAGATTGCACATCATGATGACTGGAAAATGGAAAAATTTAGGCAAAAGGTGTGTAAAGATGAAAAGTTTCATATTAGTACACATCAAACTTATAGAGCAATGAAGAAAGCTAAAATTCAAATTAGGGGTAATCTAGATGATAATTTCAAAAAGATTTGGAGTTACTGCCAAGAAATTATCAGGACTAATCCTATCACAATCTGTGAGGTGAAGCTCAGTGACAATGTTGAACTTTGTGGGGGAAACAAATTCCTTATACTGTACATGTGTTGGGATGGATATAGGCAAGGTTTCAAATTTTGTAGGCCAATCTTGGGAGTGGATGGAACTCATTTGAAGTCTGGAATTGGGGGGTTAATTCTGACTGCAGTTGGACTTGATGCTAATGACTCAATCTTCCCTGTTGCATGTGCCATTGTTGAGGGTGAAACAAAACAGTCTTGAGTGTGGTTTTTAGAATTCTTAAAAAAAGACTTAGAAATCAGTGAGGGGAATGAACATGAATTTACCTTCATGTCAGATAAACAAAAGGGTTTAATAGAAGCATTTGAAGTGGTTTTGCCTAGAGTTGAGCACCGATTTTGTGTTAGGCACCTTCATGGGAATATGAAGGTTGCGGGATTTCAAGGAAAGGCATTGAAGGATGCACTATGGGACTGTGCCAAAGCAACAACTGTGCCCAAATATAAAACTGCACTTGGAAAACTTAGACAATTGGATGAGGATGCATATGTTTGGCTATCTAATAAGAGTCCAACAGAATGAAGTAGGTCACATTTCACAAGTGTTTCTCATTGTGATATGTTGGTGAACAATATTTGTGAAAGTTTTATTGCTGTAATTATTGATGCACGTAAACAACCTATCATTTTATGCCTTGGATTAATCAGAAAGCAGCTAATGACCAAGCTATTTGCCAATAGGGAAAAGGTGAGTAAGTGGACTGGCAGTATTTGCCCTAGGATTGTGGAGAAAGTTAAGATTATTGAGAAAAAAACAGCTGGTTATACAGGATATCAATGTGACACATATTTATTTGAGATTGGAGGTATGTATGAGGCACAACATAGAGTGGATTTGCAAAGAAGAACCTGTTCATGTAGAAAGTGGGACCTCACTGGTATTCCATGTGAGCATGGTGTTCGTGCAATTTGGCTTAAGCATGGGAAAGGCCATGTAACTGACTACATCCACCCCTGTTATTCTAAAGATACATATTTGAAGATTTATGAAGGATGTATTAGACCAATGGCTGGCCTATAAGTGAAAGAAATCCACCCCTACCTCCTGTGTACACTGCCAGAGTAGGGAGGCCACAAATATTAAAGAAAAAGTCAGCAGGTGAGACAGCAAGTCACAAGATAAAAAATGATGGAGAAAGAGTGGCAAGGTCTCAAATAAAATTACATTGCTCCAATTGCAAACAGTCTGGCCACAATAATTTATGGTTTATGGTTTATTGTCTATGGTTTATGGTTTAATGTCTATGTTTTATGGTTTATGGTTTCAGGCAATGGGAGCCCGTGATGTTTTAACACAAGAAGAATATGATTTTGATATTGCTTTAAGTTCATTCAATTTGGATGATCTTATACTGCCAATGCAAGAACAAGCCCAAGCAGAAGACCCCAATCAGATTCAGTTCAACCCCAAGGAGATTCGGATCAAACCCCACCAGTTCAAGCACATGTAGAAACACTTCAAGCCCAAGTTCAAGCCCCACTAATTCAAGCCAAGAACAAAACTAATTTTAGAGTGAAACTTCCAGTTCAGAGAAAGTGTTTTACCAAATCTAGTTCCAAGTAAAATTGACTGATGTAATGGTTTATGGTTTTTTTGGTAATGCCAAAACTGTAATGGTTTTTATGATTCTTTTTGTAATGCCAAAACTGTAATGGTTTATGATTTTAGGCATGTTATTTTGTCAAACTATGATGCCAAAACTGTTGTTATACTGCCAATGCAGTTTTGTTGTCTTAAAATTGTAAACATTGATTATGGTTAATACAGCAGGCTGTTTATGGTTTCTTTGTCTATGGTTGATGGATTTTTGTCTATTGATGAGCATAACACGACAGAGAATTGATTGTGGGTAATCTAAAACAGCAACGGGGACAACATGCAGAAGATAATGTTGCATATCATATATAGTAGAAAGCATGATGGAAGTATTAAATTTCACTTGATCACTAATGAACTACAATTTTTTTCTCATCTTTCTACACGAGCTGTAGTTTCACAAGTAACATAATGATACAACAATGTTCAACATTGACCATAGATCTGCCAAACTAAAATGATCCTACACATTTCTATTCAACAACATGAACATTCATAATGAGTAAAAGAAACAAGAGCATTAGTCATTTGCCAAAAATGCACACTAACCAACCTAATTTAAAACGCTTCCTAGTTACTGCAAACTTCATTATCTACAAACTTCATTCTCTGTTTTTCCATCACCACCATCTGCTGCAACTTTGCATTCTCTGCTTGCTCGTAAGCTTCTTCGAATTTCAGAATTGCTTGAGTTAACTCTGACTCGGACGTGTCTGAATCGATAGGAGGCCTTCTCCGAAATGCCTGTTTATGCTTCTGCTGCATCTGCAATGGCGTCTTGTTCGCAGGTAGGGTTCAAGAAATTTGGGGGGGTTTTATTTTGTTTGTTGTTTTGGTGAATAAGAGGAGTAGTACTATTTTTAAGTCAAACGCCAATTTATTTATTTATTTATTTTTTGGAGACAAGTCAAATGTCAATTTTACCCCTGCTAAAAACAGAAAATTTTTCTTCCGGTGACATTTTGACGGAAAAGTGGCCGGAAGGGCCATTTTTGCAAAAAAATCAATAGTCGTGGACTAAAATTGTAAGGTTCAAAAATCGTGGATCAACTCTGCCAGTGCCACTATAGTCGTGGGACCAAAAGTGTAAAAAACTCATTGGTTAAAATTGAAAGTCGATGACCAATTTGTGAATTTAGCTATAGTCAAGGGACCATTTTGGGTATTTACTCACTTATCTATTTCTAGTGGTAGTTTCTAACTATCCCGCATGTTGTGTGATATAGCTAGGGGAAACACGAAAAATTTATCATTCTCTAGGAATTAGGAGATATGACACACAATATGTGACAACAAGTAACTAAACACTAATATTAAGAAATGCATAAGAAGCTAAACAATTCATAACAAGGTTAAGACTAGGTAACTAAACAAGATATCACAAACATATATTAAGAAGAGATATAAATATGAAATAAATAAATAGGACTTAAACTTCAGAGCATTTATGTTCTAGATGCAAAACACAACTTAAAGATTGAGAAAAATCACACAATTAAAGATCATTCAATTCATCTCAATCATCAATATTATACCTAAACACACATTTGAATCAAATAAGAAATGATTGGATAAAATTATAACAAATGACAAGCAAAATAATCTTAAACGCATAACAATTAGACACTTGTCATTGTGACTTCTCTATGTCTATCAAGAATACTAACAAGAATTAAATCCGTGACCTTCTAGTACGAGAGTCATACTTTATCCGACTCTTTTCGGGGCATGATTCCTTTTTTAATAATAGAACAAAGTGAATCCTAGAAGGATAAGTAGCCCTTCATGTTAATTGGAGCCAGTCACTTTTTCTGTCGAGCAGCAACTACACACGTGTCAACATCCACATCCCGAAACATCACAATATTCCATGATTCCTTATTAGCATAATCACAATAATTTTTTACTTTATCAACAAACACCAAAAAAGGATATGATCCACCAATGCCCCAAAGGTGGTTGCTACTAGAAGACACCAACTTTTTGTTCTGTTCTCAAAACATCACATCCGTTTCTATTCATCTTTCATTTCTTGATTTCAAAGCTTATTTTCAGGAGGAATGCTGAGGTTTGTTTACTTCTCACAGATTGAAACATGGGAGTGTTAATAAGGTTGTCTGCATGGCTGGAAGGCTGTTCTTATAATCTTAGATTGGGCTAGATCACTCAATTGGGCTATAATGTACATGGGTCAAACTACATTAAAAGATTAAATCCAACCAATTAGCTAGTCTAACGGTCAAACCCATGACCTTATAAACACTCATATATTCTTTCTTATTTTTTCAATGTGGGACTCTTAACGGCTGTAAATGGAAATGAGACCATTTTGGTCTGGCTTAGTGGCTATGGAAACAAGCCATCTACTAGTCTCTTACAAAAGCAAACAATAATGAAAGATTCAACCTCACCCGAGAGTCCCTACATGTCCTTGTCCTAGAGTCGAAAAAGTAAACCGCATAATGTTGAGTCCCAACTAAACCTTGCACCATTTGCCTACAAGAAAAGCAAAGTTACGAACAATTCTTTAGATTGATCAATCAGATGAGCTGTGTCTCGGAGACAAAGTAAACAGTAATGGATTAGAGGGTTTTGTTAGCTTTGTTTAGAGGCAGAATTATTGTTCTATACTACCATATGTTCTCTGCAATATAATGCAATGTTTCGAGTCTTTTAAAAAGGCAGAATAAAAACAAATCCGTAAATGAAAACCAGATGATCAACCTCAAAACAGAAAACCAACACGTTGATAAGGATCTGTTATAGTGTTTATGCACATCATATCATGCATTAATGAATCCTATATATGTCTGTCAATTCTAATCTTGTAGTGGAAAAATATCTCTGCATATAATTTTTTACAAATAAATGCAACGTGTTGAGGAGAGGATAACGGGGTATCTTCTCTCCTGTATGTACAGATAAAGATGATGTTATTTTCTTTCTTCAATTTCACTTCAAGGGTAAATCACCTTTCCTAAGCATTATGTTTTCCAATCAAAACTTTGGGTTTGGTTTTTCTGGAAATATTTTGCATGAGAATCTTGAAATAGGGGGCAAATTGACAGGATAACACTAACTCTCCACCTCACCAGATGCTCCAGGTCTCTCGAAAATATTCTAAATTTCCATAATAATCTAAAAACGAGCTAATTGAACTCTTGGGTGGCACCTAAGGGCAGATAATGATAATCAATTGTGTAATGCACAGCAATATCAAGAGACTAACCTCTTATTTGAGTTTGCAGTAGTTGCAGCACAGGCTCTTGCGTGACTGTGAGGACTGTCTTGTCAAGAATGTCTCTCCTTATCGTTTACTTTCTTGGCAACTTGTACCTGAGATGGATATTGTTTGGGAATCTATGAAATATCGTGATCTGAACAATTCTTGTTCTCTCCCGATTTCTTTATTTTTTTTTTTTTTTCCTTTTCACGTGTCTTGAAGAACAGGTCACCGCCTCTGAGCTTGTGTGTGTGTATATAAGCTTCATGGAGATCAAGACAACCTCCTCACTTCACAAACATTCATATCTCCTACATTTTTCTCTCGTTTTCTCTCGTGCTCAAAGTTCTTTTGTTTTTCGGGGCAATGAATTCAGTGGACAGCTTGGCGGCAGGCAGGCCAGTGGTGATCTTCAGCAAGGGGTCTTGCTGCATGTGCCACACTATCAAGACCCTCATTAGCAGTTTTGGGGCAAACCCGATGGTTTATGAGCTCGACGAGCTTCCCAATGGGCAACAGCTAGAACGAGCACTGACAGCATTGGGGCAAAGGCCAAGCGTACCGGCTGTATATATAGGGGAAGAATTGGTCGGGGGAGCAAACGAGGTCATGAGCCTCCACCTCAAGGGAAAGTTAGTCCCATTGCTCAAGAAGGCAAAAGCCATATGGGTATAGGTATAGCCTCCCTCCTATATGGTATCGGGTGAACATAACGAAGCTCTGAATGACTGTCGGTGGTAATCTGGCTTTAGCAGTTCCAACGAGAACATGTCATTGAGAATATTTTATGTAACATAATCAATGACTGCTCGAGTTCTCTACGTTTGAATTATGTATTACGTCTGTTAATAATGTGAGAGCTCATATTTAAATGACATTTGAACAGAGATCTTAAGGGGTTGTGTTTCTGAGTTTTGGCATGCCTCCAATTCGCCATGGCTCTCTTAACAGTGTCATTTGCCTTCTGTATATCCTTGTGCTCTATGATTCATTGATTCCCAATGGTCCAGGTTGTAGCACCTTGACAACAGTTTCCACATCCTGCTCCAGTTGCCTATAAGGGCAATAAATGAACAGAGAATAGCTTGGAAAAACAATATACCCCAAAAGAACCATTTTCAGCAAATTGAGTTCATACTTTATCCTGCAGTCCATAAGTGCAGAGCAAATCTATTTAGTCCGGATGGCAGCTTAGTTGGTTCCTGTATAGTAGATTATAGGTAAAGACACAGGATCAGGTCATGACAGTTACGGTGTGAGCTCCTTGTAAGCACCAAATAACTATACCCATCCACTATCCTACTGTCAAGCCGGGGGGTGTGGGGTCCTGGGTGAGGGAATTTCATCTTTTTTTTGACAAGAGCAAATATACTTATGAACAGCAAAGAATTGATCTTAATGAATCCAACAAGACTAGGGGTGTGTATGGTTCGCATAAGGGAATCGGAATGGGAATCAACAATGTTGAAAAAATCGCTAGGCGCCCTCTAGGCGCCTGGGGACCGGGTGCCTAGGCCGCCTAGGAGGCTGGGCGCCTAGGCGCGATTTTTGCAACAGTGGGAATCAAATACTTGGTAATAGTAATATGCTTTTGTTATAGTATTTTGCATGTTTGGTAGTAAAATGGAATTGGAATGATTACCAATATTGATGTTTGGTTATGTATGACTCTATAATGGGAATAAAAGTTTTAAAAATACAAAAATACAAAAATAAAAAATTAAGGGAATTGATCCAATAAAATGGAATGATACCCGTTTTTAATTAGGGAATGAGATTTTTAATTGAAGGAGTAATCAAATCTAATATTTGTGTTTTAAAAAGTTGTCAACCTAACACTAATTATAATTTTGATTCTCATTCCAGATGTGTAAATTCATGAACCAATCACAGCCTAGGTTATCCTTCCTTTCTTTGTCTGTGCTTGCATTATCACATCAGAGACAGTAAAATTTTGGCAGCACAAACTATCACCAAGATGACTCATTTACACGGATTAAATCAACCCAGAAGCAAAAATAAAATAAAATTTAAAAGCATGCGAATTAAGAAAGCCTTCATCCAAGAACTAATACCATTCCAATTTTTTGTTCAAATTCTCCTCACAGAAGTACCCAAAAAAATCCACTTTTACAGACGATAATACATTTACGCTTATGAAGTTGGGGAACAAGAAGAGAGGAGAAGTGTACGCACCTAAAGAGACCGGGAAAAGGCAAAGCATTTCTCACTTCGAGTATGATGGGCGCATTTTGCTCTGTAATTCTGTAAATTATGAAGAAATTCCGACAATTTTATCTAATCATGGTAAAAGTTTTAAGTTAATTCCACTCGTGTCCCACGACTTTACTGTTTTTCTATTTTAACCTTTAAAATATTTCAATTTGCTGAACAGTCCCTTTAAGACGTTTCTTGATTTTGCTGAATTCAGAGTTCCGGCCAACCAACCAACCGCCGCCGTGTTCAACTGCCGATTGAAGCAAAGCTGATAGATTTCGACGGTGAGGATGGCGAGGAAAAGAAAGCCTTTGATACTTTCCTCCACCAAAGCTCACCTCACCTCCATTCTCAACGATGAACATAAGCTCACAGAGCCAATTAAGCCCCTTTCCTCTTCGTCCCTGACAAATTCTAGTATACAGTTAAGAGCAGGAATTCTCCAATTGCCCAAGGACCTAAATGGAATTTCACCCGCGAAGGCAGGGTCTTCTCTTGACTGTTCCACCATGGTCGGCCTTTCCACTTCTTCTCTCAAAAGACTCTCCATAACTTCCGGGTCACTGGTAAAAACTTGATCTTCTTTTTTTTTTTTTTTTTTTTTTTTTGTTTCTCTTGGCAAAGCATAAGTATATGGTGAGAACTTAGAATTATGATTATGGTTCCAAGTCCAAGTTGATTGTGGTATTTATCAAAGTTAGTTAATCATGGTATAATTAGATAGGCTTTTCAGTTTTCACTAACATGGAGCTTAAGAAATTCAAGATTTTTGCTTTCTGCAAGTTTCAGGCATTCTGTGTGATTGACCTTTTCACTCTCCCTCTCTGAACTTAGGTACTGATAAAGAATGTTGACATGAGTGGGCTAAGAATTGGGCAAGTAATAGTTCTGGATCCTCCCCATACTGATAAGACATTGCCCAGTAGCACACCACTTCTCTCAGAATCTCCCCAGGCAATGCTTGTTTTGCCATCACATTGTTATGGTGATGTTCATTCCCCCAAGACAGATCAGGAAACTGCCTATTTATCTCCAATTTTGGCATTTAACCTTAATTTGCATATATCGTGTTTGAAATCGGTTATTCACCAAAATAACGAGACTTTGTCTCCTTTGTTTGACATCAAGGTGGAAAGTGGAAATGAAAGTGCTGTCATTAGTCTAGGAATTGAACCATTAGATCAGTTGCCAAAGTATGCAAAACATCTTAGGGCTTCTTTTGTTAAGATGCCTGAATGTGGTATGCTCAAGTCTGTTAGAAAAACTTCACTTGTTGAGGCAGAAGATCGTCAAGAGTTGATTGATTTGGCATTGAATCAATACTTCTCAGTAGATAGGTTTCTTGCAAGAGGTGATCTTTTCAGTGTAAGCATTAATTGGAATTGCAAATCAGCTTTGTGTGTTCCCTGCACCCAGAAACTTCAGACTGGTGGTTCTGAAATCATATACTTCAAGGTTAAAATTTTGTATCTTAGTGTAATGAGTGGATTGTTTAAGGAAGTTCTTGATCCCTATATTTTATCATCATCTACCTACATTCTTACCAGGTTGTGGCTATGGAACCATCAGAAGAACCTTTTTTGAGAGCCAACCGTGCTCAGACTGCACTAGTACTTGGAGGAAACGCTCCCTCTGCTATCCCCCCGGATTTTTTAATTCCTGGACCTCAACGTTTCTTGCCTTTACAAGCGAACACTGTGAAGACTTTGGCCTCCGTTCTTATGCCAGCATTATGCCCGTCACCACTTTCATCAAAATTCAGGGTTTCTGTTCTCTTGTCTGGTTCGCCTGGTATATTTCATACTTCATCGTCTGCTGATAAATGGAATGCCTTTCTATTTATATTATATGTTTCCTCCTGACCAACATTTCAAGAGTTCTGCAGGCATCGGGAAGACCACCTTAACTAAATTTGTAGCTCGTCGGTTAGGCCTGCATGTGGTGGAATATAGTTGTCACAATCTATTCTCGTCTTCTGAAAGAAAGACGTCTGCTGTTCTGGCTCAAGCTTTCAGCACAGCTCGCAGGTAATTTCACACTTCCGGTGTAATAAAAATTTATAGGACTGATCAACTAATGTGAATACTTGATATTGAAGATCCTTATAATTATCATATCCATATGCATTTTAAAATCATCACTCCCATAGTCCCATTGATATTTAATTTCACATTCCCAGTTTGATTCTAGTTTTTTCATTCCCGACCTACAATTTTGGATACAGATACTCTCCAACAATACTTCTACTACGACATTTTGATGTCCTTCGTAATTTGGTGTCTCATGAGGGTTCAGCACATGAGCAACTTGGTGTCAATTTCGAAGTTGCATCTGTCATAAAGGAATTCACCGAGCCAATTGGTGATGAAGACCTTCACTTTGAAGAAAACTCAAAAGGTGATGATGTAAGTGCAATTCACTGTTATATTGTATCTTACACCGAATTGCTGCAAATATGATTAGTTTTTTTGTACAATAAAACCATAATGTGCTGATATTATGGTGGCTTGGAAACATAGACTAATGTGAATTAAAATTCTCTGTCTCTCTTTCGGTGTGGCAAGGAAAGGTTGCTCGTAGAACAAGTGGGCATCCGGTGCTGTTTATTGCTGCTGCTGATAGTTCTGAAGGACTTCCACCAGCTATTAGGCGATGCTTCAGTCATGAAATCAGTATGGCACCGTTGACTGAGGAACAAAGGAAAGAAATGATGTCCCAGTCTCTTCAATGCATCACTACAATGCTCCCAAATGCACGTGACATTAAATTCCTCCTCGGTGTTTTTCTAAATTGCAATGTTCTCTAAACTATGATACCTTTCTTGGTAACCAGCTTGGTTGGCGTGAGTGGTCGTGCACTCCCATCCCTTAAGAGAGGTCGAGAGTTTGAACCCCCTCTTGTATGGAAAAACCAATCTGGCCAGCACTTCGCCCCTTAATTCGGCCGGCCCGGTGCGAATGAGGATTAGTCTGAGTATGGTACGGGCTTAAAGGTGCCTCTATAGCAGTGTTGCAAAAATCGGGCCTAGGCGCCGATTAATCGCTCTAGGCGCTAGGCGGTCGGCCACCTAGGCGCCGATTAATTGCTCTAGGCGCTCTATGCGCCCTAGGTGGTCCCTAGGCGCCTAGTGATTTTTTCAACCTTGCTCTATAGTTAGGGCCTGCTCAGGACACCTCATGGCCAGACCAAAAAAATGATACCTTTCCCGGTTGGCAATTGAATGTTGAGCCTTGATGTTTACTTTTTCTCATGGTAATTGACTTTGATGGATCGGGTTATTGTTTATTGCAGGCTTCTACGGAGGACTTCATAAAAGATATAGTTGGGCAGACATCTGGTTTCATGCCAAGGGATCTGCGTGCTTTAATTGCTGATGCTGGTGCGAGTTTGATTTCGAGCCAAAATATTAAACATGTCAAAAGTGAGCCAGAAAATCTTAATAAAACTTCTCTGGATACCAAGCCGGTTGAGAATGATGGGTTGGTTAGTTCATCTCAAGTCTTAAGTAAAGAAGATTTAATGAAATCAATGGAGCGGTCAAAGAAAAGAAATGCATCAGCTTTGGGCACTCCGAAGGTACAGTACAAAGTGTGAAAACAGATTCTCTTTTTAACGGTCTTTGATCTGACGTTCTGACATTTCACTGTTGGCAACGATATCTTGCATACGAATCTTCTGGTAGAGCAGGTTCCTGATGTGAAATGGGAAGATGTTGGCGGGCTTGAGGATGTGAAAAAATCGATTCTTGACACCGTGCAGGTAATGTTTTTCTGTACCATGAAAAAATCAAATATACGTCCTTTTCAAGTAGGCACGTGATTTTGAATTTATCTGTAACGATGAACACATCTTGGCAGTTATTTATACTCGGTTAGTGGATGATATGTCGCAAATTGTTTTTCTTGATTGGTTTTTGCAGCTTCCTCTACTACATAAAGATTTATTTTCATCTGGATTGCGCAAGCGATCTGGGGTTCTTCTTTATGGTCCTCCTGGTACCGGGAAAGTGAGTTCATTGTCTCTCACGCTATTTCATGTCGTGTTGCCTTGATCATGGAGTGCTTATTCTTGTTCTGTTGTCAATGTCAGACTTTACTCGCAAAAGCTGTCGCTACTGAATGCTCGCTGAATTTTCTGAGCGTAAAAGGGCCTGAGTTAATTAACATGTACATTGGAGAATCAGAGAAGAATGTTCGTGACATATTCCAGAAGGTAAGAGATTGGTTTTTCTTCCTTTTCTTGGAGCAAGATTCTAGTTCAACTTCTCAATCGCGTTTTCGTCATATTCCATATAGGCCAGATCAGCTCGCCCATGTGTCATCTTCTTCGATGAGCTCGACTCTCTTGCACCTGCTAGGGGTGCTTCTGGAGATTCTGGAGGAGTAATGGATCGTGTGGTTTCTCAGGTACAAATTCGCTCTAATTATATTTTTGGTAAACCGTATTCTTTCTTTCATGATTTTTGATATATTAAAGTTGCACTATTCAGATGCTTGCTGAGATTGATGGACTGAACGATTCTACCCAGGTTTGTTACGCTACTTGATTCAATCACCTATTTCACCTTTCTCGTCCCTTGGCTCTAATTCTTTGTCGTCTCGTTTAAAGGACTTGTTCATTATTGGGGCCAGCAACAGGCCAGATCTTATCGACCCCGCTCTTTTGAGGCCAGGTCGGTTCGATAAGCTCCTATATGTTGGTGTCAATTCCGAAGCTTCTTACAGAGAGAGGTGAGTTTTGTTTCTTTCATTTTGAAGAGGTGCCAGAAAAGACGCCAATTCCATTATAGTCGATTTACAAATAATTTTTTGCAGGGTTCTTAAAGCACTGACTAGGAAATTCAAATTGCACGAAGATGTTTCTCTACTCTCAATAGCAAAGAAATGCCCTCCGAACTTTACAGGCGCTGATATGTATGCCCTGTGTGCTGATGCCTGGTTTCACGCTGCAAAGCGCAAGGTTGATATGAATATATGATATGCTTAAACACCGATTGCAATGTAAGGCGGTGGCACATACAGTACTTGACAATGTTTTTCGTATGAATGTTGCAGGCGTTAGCTATTGGCTTGGATTCTGGTGATGGGTCGGGCGACACAAAAGATGCGATTGTAGTTGAGTATGACGATTTTATGAAGGTATGAGGAATGAGTTAGTTGGATAAACGAGCAGAGTGAGATTGTTGGGTTTCTGATACAAGTTTGTTTGGTTGGGTTTTGAAGGTTTTATCGGACCTGTCTCCTTCATTGTCAATGGCGGAACTTATGAAATACGAGGCATTGCGAGATCAGTTTGAAGTTTGAAGGAGCATCACCATCCAGGTGATTATGCATGCAACAGATCGAGGCACTTCAACGACATATACATACATAATACCATGAATATTTTTTTTGAACAACATTAACAACATATACATAGTACAACATTCACAACTTTAGCCAAGTTAGTCAACTTATTAAGATTATAAGTTTAAGTTCAATTTCCAATAAGAATGGTTCATTAACTTTCTTAATTTGAAAATAAGTTTAAATTTAATTTTCAGTAAGAGTGACTTATTAGTTATTAGTCTTCTTAATTTGAATCGGATCAAATAGTGACAGTACATATAAATTGATTTATTTTCTTGTGTTACTTCACTAGACGAGAGTAGTAGCTAAAGAATTTCATCAACACTCAAAAAAAAAAAAAAAGCAAAATAATAATAATAAATAAATAAAAGAGTAAAAGTAGAAGTAATTGCTAATTGAAATAATTACAAACTGTTTTCCTCTGGTGGATATTATTTAATGATTGACAGGAATTAAAGTCTCGAGGTTCTATACAAAAAGTCAAAAATCATGAAAGTAAATGGACAAGATCGGCATTGCTTATTCATAGAAGACAATAGTAAAATATACTAATAATAGGAGCATTAAAGTAATATGATTTCCATCTATTCACAGCACCAGCTTGCTCTATTTTAGAGGCTCGAGTTCAAAAACACAAAATGCACTAACCAACTACAACCAAATAATAACCTATACTGTAAAACCAAATACTCGAGGGCAATTTCTCCTAGAAACATTCAGCAGCAGCGCCTTGCCAATGCAGCTCCATTTACGCCAGGTACCTGAACATGTTCGGGTTCTCTTTGTCTCGTTCCAAGTAGTCCCGAGTTATTAGATCTTCAATTCGCTTCTTGATTGCCTTGAAGTCGGGCTGCAGAAAACACACAAGAATTTAAGCCTTCCAAAAAGAATGGGGGTTCTCAAAGTGCAAATGCACAATGGATACATGGCATACCTTGAACATTCGACTCAACTGCTCAACACACTCCAAAACCAACTGTTGATGAGCCAGAACTTTTCTACTCTTCATGATTCGTACAATACATGCATCAATAGCATAACGCCTATCCTTGTCGACATCCTCCACCACTTTTTTCCTTTCATCCACAGGAGGCAGAGGTATCTACAGAGAGATGCAACTTGTTTAGAAAGGAACTTAAACCTAAAGTGAAAAATAACAAGATTTAAGGATGTATATATAAAATTACCCTGATTCTCCTCATTCTGTCAGTAAATTTGGAGTTGAACTCAAAATAATCATTGGACGAAACGGTTCTATTGCTAGGTTCCTTAATCAGAATTTTATATTTGGCGCATGAAAGAGACTGTAGCAATCTGACCAAGTCATCATCAGCCAAGTTTAGCTGGCTTTTAATATCTTGGTAACTTAGTCTATCTGAGGCATTGAAGAGTAACAATGCAGCTGCCTGAAATGACAACCATAAAAATAGAATCAGTCTCCAATGGCTGTAATCAACCAAGGGAACAATTACAATTTAATAAAAATACATAACCTGATATGTTCCCAAAATCAGTTCAATGGTTTTTTGCTCAAACTTTCCATTTATGTTGCATGTTCCCAGTGAATAAATCCATGTAAGTTTCCTGTGTTTTGTTTTTGTCTGATAAAATTCTTTGAAAACCTCCACACACTTGACCTGAAACAATTGAACAATGTAAGGACACTGCTATACAATAGTAAACCACCTACAAAAAATCAAAACCGCATTATCTCATCAAATACTAAGCAGAACCCACCATCTCCTCCGGGAGACTCAAATCAGAGGATTTATAGCTAGGCCAGAACCCAGTTGTAAGAACAGTGACAGTCAAATCAATCCCAGGACTAGCAGCTGGATTATTGTTAAGATAATCCTGGAAGTGGTTCTGATTTTCCTTCGCTAGCGTCAAATCTGTAACCTGGTGGTGGAAGAGAACGTCAACAAAAATTAGAAAGAGAAGACACAAGATTTTTTAAGAAATCAATCATACAAGTATACAACAAAGCTCCACTCACCATTCCCTCCATCTTTGAGGTGAACTGTCCACCACACTGCTGCTTTAGCTTTGTGAGGATTAATCTTTCGTGGTCATCATTTGCACTTTTATCAAAAAGCAATCGACGAGACAGCTTCTTCCTATAAACAGTAATCAATACAATAAACATAGGAAGTCAATGTTAAAAAAAAAAAAAAAAAAAAAATTAACACACACAAATTGCAGTCAGGTTCTCACCGGTAAAATTCAGCAAAAAGATCTTTATCACTGATATATGCCAAAAGCTTGACAACCTGCAAAGTGCATGATATCCACATGAGTGAAGACAAACTGAAGAAAGAGACTTTGATCTCCATATAATTTGAAAAAGAAATCCGTGCTGTCAAATTAGTTTGCATTATTACCTTATCCAATGTTTCCTCAATAGCCTCATCACTCAGTTTTTCACTCCCACCCTTTTTAAGGATATTATCACAATAAGAAGCCAAGAGTTCAGCACTGGAGCAGCCAGCAACAATTTTATTACAGAATACCTCAAATGCTTCTTTCAAAGCCTACAGGAAACCAGGATTTTTAATTATTTAGAAATAATACAAATGGCAAAAACAACATAACCACTGAATGTTTAGCTTACCTTGTGAAAGAGAGAATTGTTGGAGAAACAGTCTGTCACATATGCCATATACTTGTCATGAAGCTCAATCACTTTCCTAACAAAGACCTGAAAGACAACATTCATAAGTGTATAGTTCAGTTTTAAAAAAATAAAATTAAATTACATAAATTGTAGGCCATTTTTAATTGTGGCAATATAATATGGTATGCTATTACCAAAAAAAAAAAAAAAAAAAAAAAACAAGATGAAGAAGAAGAGAGAGAGAGAGAGAAGCAGCTGAGAATGTATAGCTTTTCTTAAGCAGTAGTATGTGAAACATGAATTTTGTAAGAAAAGTATTTACCTGCTCCTGTGAACTCCCTGAGCTCTCAGCCTGTACAAAAATATTAAACACCATTTTTTTAGGCCAGCGCGAAGGAACAAGCAACTTTCACTCCACTTTTTCCTTCTTTAATGTAGTGCACTAATGCTCAAGGAAACTTATTAATGCTACCCAGTTATTAGTATGCAGTCCACCTAAGAAATCAGTACAAGAAGCATAGTCGCACATTTTTTCCTTAACCCAACTCCTTAATAAGCATTGCTAATGGAAATGAAGCAGTAAGAAGCTAAGTCGAAGCTATTCTTAATAAGTGGTCTGAACCATCAAGAATAGCAATATCCTTTAAAACAGTTGGGAAGTAAACAGATACTCGTGAGACGGAGGCTACCTTACTACTAGCTGCATCTTCAGCCTGCTGCACCAATACCATGCCTTCAGCAGTGACATGCTACAATAAACAAGTAATCACAAAGTCTTAGCATAATGGAAAAAATCTTAGAAAGCCTTCTTAGTCAAAAGGGGGTACAAATAAGCCACAGTACCTGTTTAAACATATTGGCAACCAGATCCAATCCTTTCGTAATCTTTAAGAAAAGCCTATACATCCTAGATAAATCTTCCACCTAACATCAAAAGGGCAAAAAGTGGGCAAAATTATGAATGCAACAATTGGATAACTTCGATTATGAAAAAAAAATAAGAGTTATACCTTATCATCCCTAAGTAATGCTCGGCAACCAGAATGCTCCTTTTCAAGCAATTGATTGGTGTATACTACAAGCAACTCATTTTGCACTTTCTATAGCATAAAGAATCATCAACAGTAAGTACTAATAAAAGATAAGGTAAAACAAACTGATGCACTTTTTGGTGTAAAACCTCAAGACTGAGAGGGCCAAAAATAAAATAAAATACGGTTTCTTAATTCAAGAACTAGAAATTAATATCTTTGCATTCATAAAGAAATAAATATAATCATTCATCAAGAACCATTTTTCATAAAGCATGCAGCAATATTTAGGACAAGAGTGTCTGTATGTTCTGATAACTACCTCCAAAAGCCTTGTTTCACTACTGGAATGCAGATAATGAGAAACCCTATCTTTCTCTTTCTTCAAGCACTCTTCAGCCTGCAGTTACAGAGAACAGAAGCTTCAACTTAGCATGGTATAACATGCAAGACTAAGTTGCCAAAGAAAGAGAGGAAAGACAATAATTACCTTCAACATGTAATCTGGACAAGAATCTTCAACTATCCAGTTTGATGCCTTCCGAGAATAATAAGCAGCAGTATCCTTGAGCAATGCATCTTCAAAGTCATTCTCATAGTATTCCATCTGCCCCATTCCGATTTCAACAAAAATGTCTAGTACATTCTTCAATAGTGCTCTATCAATCTGTTCACTCTCACGTTCTTGATCAATCTGGTAGGGAAGTATTTTTTCTAATTACCAACATGTAGCAAATAGCTATAAACAATGTGCAAATGATAAAGAAGACATAAGACTTACAAGAGCTATAACAGCATCTCTAGCTTTACCTCTTGACTCCTGGTAAACCTGTTATCAAGGAGGAAGTAAATACTAACAACAAAAAATATCAAGAAAGGTCACAAATAAAAGTTGAAAAGAAATGCGGGAAACAAACCAGATCACGGAAGCAAGAAAGTCCAACTTCATGAAGAGGAGAGAGTGACCTCCGAGCAATAAAGTACCGGTCAAGATAGTGGAAAAATCTAGAAAGCCACCTGACCATAACCTTGTGATTTGCCCACCTTTTAACAAGCTCCCTTAGCATGAACTCATCATGCTTCTCTCTCAAAGAGGGCAAAACCTGCAAAACATATTGAAACCAGAACAAATCAAGCTACAATAATCAATGCTCCAAATTTGCCACACAAAATTAATTAGATAAAACTTCATTGAAAAGGACTGAAAATTCAAATGTAGACATATGCCATGTTTGTTCAATAAAACAGAAAAATATAAGCTTCAACCACCAAAAATTCTTACCACTGAGTTGATGTATTCATCAAATGATTCCCTATACTTTTCATATAGCTGCTGAGAATAGTCATGGGGTGGTTTCTGCGTGCACATATTATAGATAGTACTAAACTACAATTAAGGACGAACAAATATTGAAGTAAAAGAAAGATAAAGTAAAGGAACCATAATATTAACAATGACAAAGGATACGTGTAAAGCATCATGTACTCTTCAG